TTTTCATATTAGATGTTTCAATATTGTCAAAATATCATTTCTCCATAAATTTATCTAAAAATTCAATAAAAATCCAAATAGAAGTTCTAGCGGGGTTTTTTGTTTGTAACGTAGAAAGTGGGTAGAGGGGAGTAGCCACATGCTATTGATTGTGTAATAAGTCTTTCAGCAGTGTTTGGCATTTTAGACTATTCAAATGTTTTACTTTTATAAATAAAAATTAATTTTAAAAGTTTTTAGTGTACCTTCAATTTCCCTGATATGTGATAAGCTAGATAGTCCAGAAACGATCCAAAGATACAATGTTGAGAAACATCAGTGTTTAATGAATGGGTACATGAGAAGATTTAATAGAGCCTAAGGATGCGTGGCAAGAATAAAAAAATCTCAGAGAATGGGCTTTCTGTAAACCAATGAAAGAGTTTAGGAAGGAATGGTCAACAATACTAAATGCTGTACAGAATCCAATTAAGGTGAAATTTAAAAGTACCCCTTGGTAAAAATAAGGTCATCGTAGATATGCAAGAGAAATCACAGTGGACTTGTGGTGAATACGAGGCAAGGAAGTGGAAAAAGAAAGTAGAGAAAGTTGAAGAAGCTTAAAATGAAAACAACAACAACAACAAAAATGTTAAAAGTGAAGGTAGCTATGCGATCAAAGGAAACTTTGTTTAAAATAAGGTCCTCAGCACGTTTAAATAAAAAACGTTCCCAAACTTGGCTGTGCACAAGAATCATCTGGAAAACTTTAAAAAATTTTAGTGCCTGTATGTGGCATGGTGATAGGAATATATATGAAATCTGTGTACATTCCAGCCAATTTTGCTGTGAGCCTAAAACTACTTATTTAAAAAATATCCAATGCCCCAATTGTACTTTAGATAAGTGAAATCATTCTCTGGAGTTAAGACCAAAGCATCAATAGTTTTCTAAAGCTTCCAGGTGATTCCAATGTATAGCTAAGTCTGAGAAGCGCTGCATTATTCTAACATTTCTCACAATAAAAATTATCCTGAGAATTTGTTATTAATAAAAAACAGATTGCTGGGTCTCATCCTCAGAGTTACTGATTGACTAGGTCTAGGGTAGGACTCATTTGTTTGCCTTTTTGGAAGTTCCCAGATTACATTAATGTTGCTGACTCAAAGCCACACTTAGAGTGACATTATATTCCAGAGAGGGAGACTGAAGATAAAAGAACGAGGGTATACCTGAAGATCCCCAGCCATGCTGCATACAGATGGGGTGATTTAGATGATTCCAGTGGTCCTCTAAAATGTTTCATAAGCCTTCATAATTTTCTCAACTTGCTGCCTTTAGCAAGCAGCTCACAGAATTCTGGCTGAAGTCTGGTAGTTTGCTCGAGTGCCAACATTTTCAAGTGTGGTTCCCATTAGCAGTAGTAGCAGCTTCACCTGGTAACTTGTTAAAATGGAAATTATCAGCACACCCAAGACATGTTGAATCAAATACTCTGGGGATGAGACGCAGCAATCTGTGTTTTGAAAGACCCTCCAGGTGATTTTGATGCATGCTAAAGTTGAAAATCACTATTTCAGTGAATGGCGTATTTTATGTTTTCAAAAGCCAGTCTGTACATCTAATTCCTCCTACTAGAGGCTGTCTTTGCTTCTTGTGCCCTCGCTTCCACTTAATCATCCCTAATGCCTACCAAGTCATCTGAAGAAACTTCACTTGTGCTATGATGGTATAAGTGCTGTCAAAGCTTCCAATCCTTAGGGTGCTAGATGAGCATCAATTAATCTACAATGTGAGAGGTAAACTGTGTCCCTGAAACAATTTCACCTGTGTCAAGAAGCCTACGTGGTCTCTTCTTGAGTAATGTTACCAACTTCTAATCCTCAATACTCAAAGCACAAAGGATGAGACTAGACACCATAGTATATACTTTCTTCTCGTCCTCCTGTAACTGTTTTGTTACATGAACTGTATTGGAATAGTTGAGCTGAGGACAACTTTATTTTTTTAACATAACCTACATAAATGGTTTAGAACCTTGTTCTGAAATATGAGCAATGAAATTTTATCTTTTGTGCTTAGTGTTTGCAAGCTTGACCAAAAAACAAGCATAAAATGTTCCATTAAAAAATTCTGCTAACAACTTCAACCAAAGTTTTCTTCCTCTAAAGAAAGTTTGAATCTCTATGAATGGGGGCAAACAAACAAGATAACAGTATGTGAAAATTTCTAACTTTCGTCATGTACAAATGTTCTGTGTGAGCTAGCATATCTGAACTATCAGCATTCAATTGAACATGACCGTAATAACACTGTCTAATATATACTAAGCATTCAGTATATATCATGCATTGTAATGAAAATTACCTAATTTTATTTTCCAAACCCTGATTCTGTCAGATCTGCATAGAGAGGGAAAAGTTCATCTGTCTTCCAGGGGATGTAGGCAGGGAAGTTTCATAAAAGAAATTGTGAACAAGACACATAATTTGGAAATGAGATTGCTTCCCAAGAATTCTGTAGCAGAAAATATGTTATTTATTTTCTTGTTTAAATTAATTTTGTTTCCAGTTTCTTTTCATTAATGTATGAGAAATTCCATTTTTATGATTTTTAAATTTTTTTTTCTTGAGAAAAAGTGGTATGTGCCATTTTCCCAATAAAATGTCCTAAAAGATTCCTAAGAAATGTCACAAAGCATAGAGAACTGGGGTAAACTTATAGACTAGGGTCTTGTAGTCCCCTGGAAGACAGGAATTTCCACTTCCTCCTGGCCACCCCAGAGTATGAGGTTCTTTATGTGAGTCTACCAGGACAGTGCACCCAACAAACATCTTCAGGCATACATGTGGGCCCATTTGCCTCTGGATCTTTGAAGGGGAGTAAGGGACAGATCCCTACGCCTTGGCAACATGTGCCTCAAGTCTGTTCCCTCTCCCTTTGAGTGAACCACTTCTGCTGGCTTTAAATTTTTGATCCCAAGTCTTTCTAGAATGACCTAGACTGTACCCTTTTAAGCATAAACTTTTGCAAACAAAAATCTATTATTTTCTTCTGTGGGCAGAAATTCTAACTACAAGGGGAGGATTTATCTAAAACATTAAATGGTAACACTTATATAATTAGGATTGCTCTATCCAGATACTTTTATAAGAAAGAAGAATAGCTTTTCTGTGGAAGTATCCACGGCTTGTTTTATTATATTTCACTGAGTCTTTATCTCTTTTGATCCCTTTAAGAGAGTGTCTGTGTAGTTCTGATGTAGGATAACATGGTATTTGGATATTGTCATTCATTGAAACCAATAATACCTATGAATTATCATAAATATTTTAGTTAATTAAATAGTGATATATAATTGAAAATATTCCAAATTCAAAGATATTTCATAGGTAATACGAATTAAAAAATCACCCATTAAATAGTGTGTTAGATTTAAAAAAAAAAAAAAAAGTCCACGATATTTTAGAGCTCTTCCCATCAAGAAGTGGAATCTCTTTCAACATCCCTTGAATGGGGATTTAGCCATGTTACTTGATTTGGTCAATGGGACATTAACAGACATGATGCAAACAGAGGTTTGAAATGTGCTTATGCATTAAGGATGTGTTCTGTGGCTCCGTTTGCAACCCACCTGTGATATAACGAAGCTAAGCTAGGTGTGAATAAGTCCAGAGAAAGAAGCCTGTCCTAAAAATAATAATGGATGTGACTTTTTCCCAATGAAGTAGACTAAATCTGATAAGTAGAAATCCACACAGTTTTTAAGGGAGCTGTATAAGCATAAACTAAAAGAGACTAAGACATTCTAAAGTGAAGAGATCTCTGTTTTCAATATTCGTAGACAGAAACCCATAAAAGTTACTCAGCTAAAAACATGGTAATTTCATTTAGAAAAGAAAAAAATATTTCAGAAGGCAAACACATTTTCTTCTGTGGGAAGAAATTCTAACTACAAGGGGAGGATTTATCTAAAACATTAAATGGTAACACTTATATAATTAGGATTGCTCTATCCAGATACTTTTATAAGAAAGAAGAATAGCTTTTCTGTGGAAGTATCCACGGCTTGTTTTATTATATTTCACTGAGTCTTTATCTCTTTTGATCCCTTTAAGAGAGTGTCTGTGTAGTTCTGATGTAGGACATGGTATTTGGATATTGTAGAACAATGGACTGGAAAGCCACTCCCAGGGAGCAGCATTTTCTCTGTCACCAGAGTAAGGGGAACTAGAAACATATCCCTTCTGATTTCTATAATTTCTATTGACCAGCGACTACTACATGAATTTTATTTGTTCATTGTGACTATTTTGACCTTTGCTCAGTATTACGTGTAAAGTGGGTCTTTTTTGTTCTCAAGTCTCTGAATCAAGAGAAGCTGCGTCCAAGTATCCTCGCTCACATTTACAGAAGGTAACAGATCACATCATACTGGACTTGAGCTTAATGCTGTAATTGAAAGAGACTTGTTGGGAGTCTTGATGGGGTTAAGGATATTTTGTGTTTGGGAAGAATGTAAATAATTGGAACCAGAGAGAAGACAGTGATAAATTGTGTTGGGGGAAGAAAGGTCACAGAATTTTGCAGCAACTGTCATTAAAAAATTGAGTCTATTTTTCCACCCCTTGAATGTGGGCTTGGCTATGTGATTTGCTTTGGTCAATGGGATATTACTAAGCATAATAGAAGCAGAGGCTTGAAATGAGCTTGAACATTTGAACTTGCTTTCTTATTGCTTTTGTAACACAGTCATGTGTAAAAGCTTTGGCTAGCCTCCTAGATGATGAAAAATATGTGACCTATTGCCCCCATTCCCTCAGCCAATAGCCTGACATGTCAATGAAGCCATCTGAGATGAGACAGTCCCAACCAATCTCATAATTGACTCAAAATGCATGAGTGAGCCAGGTTCTGAACAGGAGAACTATACAATAGAACCCTAAGCTAAACACAATGATTATTTGAAGTTAAAAAAATTTGATACAGTTTATTATGCAGAAAGAATATATATGAACAGGTTTAGTAAAATAAAATGTATTTAGATATTTTCAGTGAAAGTTGCTTAGTTTTGTGGAGGACTGGCAAAAATAAATGCCAGTGACCTCTGACATATTCTTTCAGGGTAGTTCTTATGGCCACAGTTCAAAATACATGTAGTCCTAGAATGAAAATGAAAAATGCAATTAGGTTGGTTTAATAGTAGAAACAACTGCAGGCATTAGACATGGGAATGCTTTTTAAGGTCCCTATATTATAATATCATGATCACAAAACATACTAAAAAGCAAGTGTCTGAGGAGCAGACCCGTGAGGAACAAATTTCCAAGGGCATAAGAATGACTGTTTGCCCTTAAATACATCAAAATAATAGATTTGTGCATCGCTAAAGGCCCTTAGAGATCAGCAACTAATACTACCTCATTTTACTTATATATGTTTTTTCATTCATATACACATCTTAGAAAACTGGAGGAAAAGAGAAGGAAAACGTTTATATTTTCAATCAATCCCAAAATCTACCGTAAGTATTTTGGTACAAATTCCTCCAAGACGTAGATAATTGCTGTTATAATGTGCTCATACCCTGGCTTTTTTCACCGCATAAACTATTCTGAGTATTTGTGTCATTAAAGGTCCTTAAAAGTATTCAGTTTTTTAGTTTATTTTAATATCTGTTTATTACTCTGTTCTAGAGATGTCTCATAATGTATTTAGTAAATCTCATACTCACACATTTTATGTTGTTTTAACTTTTACTGTTTATTTGAGTGAAGTTTGCTACATAGAGTATATATTGCTAGTTACTATAAAGATTGTACATCATTATTTGTCTGCATCTGAAAGAATATAAACATTACATTTTTGACAAATGTTTTTAATTCATTCCTCTAAAAGTTGTACCTAGAGTTCATGAGCACTTGATTCCTTAAATCTTCATCAGCATTGAGCATACATCATTAAAAATGAAAACATTAATATATGATTTTAAAAATGGTATTTTATCCTTTATTTTTTGCTTCTCTTGTGTGTTTTTGGAAATGCTTTCTTAAGTTGAGTGTTTATTTTTATTCCCTCTTTGATAGTTATTTGAATTATTTTTCATAATATTTGTACATTTTCATTAAGTATTTGATATTTTTCTTATTTAAATATCATTTTTATTAACATAAGAATATTATTCGTTGGTCATATTTGTTGTGTATTTCCTTAATTTATTGTTTTCCTTATTTCCCATATTTTCCTTAATTTATTATTTGCTTTTAAATATTTAATATTATGAGGTTTTATGGGGTACAGAAATTTAAACTATTTAAATGTAGTAGTCTGTTACTTTATGATTTTCTTGCTTCAAAAGACCTATTTGTCTAGAGTCCAAGTATGGGTACTCTGTTTATTTTTGTTTGCTTAATTGTTCAATATCTCCTTCAATTCCTTGGGTTTATTCTTTTTTATTTTTTTCTAACTTTATAGTTTTAGCTAATTAATTTAACATTAATTTTTCTCTTTTCTTCAATAATTATTTATAGCTATATATTTTAATATCTTTAGTTGCATACCAAGAGTTTTGACATGTAATATTTTATTACATATTTTAAAGTATTTAAAATTTTTTGTTATGGCTTTTTAAAAATAATTGGGTTATTTTTATTTCTATATGTATAAAACATTTAAAATATTTACTAACTTCTAATTGAGTCTCGTTTGCTCATATACTAAGGTCTAAATGATAATGATTCTCTGTAATTTGTTGAGACTTGCTTCCTGGCCCACTATTATATCAATTTTGTAAACAATGTTTATTTGAGAAAAGTGTGTATTGTCTAATTGTTTGGTAAAAGTTCAGCGGGGCAGGGTGGCTCATGCCTGTAATCCCAGCACTTTGGGAGGCTGAGGCGGGCAGATCACGAGGTCAAGGGGCTGAGACCATCCTGGCCAACATGGTGAAACCGCTTCTCTACTAAAAATACAAAAGTTAGCTGGGCGTGGTCGCGGGCGCTTGTAGTCCCAGCTACTCGGGAGACTGAGGCAGGAGAATCGCTTGAACCCGGGAGGCGGAGGTTGCAGTGAGCTGACATTGTGCCACTGCACTCCAGCCTAGTGACAGAGACTCCGTCTCAAAAAAAAAAAAAAAAAAAGGTCTAAATAAGACCATTAAATCAAGCGTATTCATTTTGTTGTTCAAATTTTAAATAACTTTACTAATGTTCTGTCTCTTATATCTAGTATAAATGAAGAGATATGAGTAAATTCCCCATTTTTATGATGGGTTTGTCACTCTAATTTTTAGCACTTGTCTCTATATTTTGTTTTGTTGTTGTTGTTTTTTGAGATGGAGTTTCGCTCTTGTTGCCCAGGCTGGAATGCAATGGCGTGATCTCGACTCACCTCAACCTCTGCCTCCCAGGTTCAAGTGATTCTCCTGCCTCAGCCTCCCTAGAAGCTGGGATTACAGGTGTGCACCACCATGCCTGGCTAATTTTGTATTTTTAGGAGACGGGATTTCTCTATGTTGGTTAGGCTGGTCTCGAACACCCGACCTCAGGTGATTCGCCCACCTTGGCCTCCCAAAGTGCTGGGATTACAGGCATGAGCCACTGCACCCGGCCACTTGTCTCTATATTTTGAAGTTAATATTACATGCATACAAGCCTAGAATTATTACACCTTGTTTGAATAGAAACTTTATCATCATGGGAACCCATTTTGTTTCTGTTTCTATTTTTTGGAGTCTTAATGTCTTTTTTTTTTTTTTTCCTGCTATTAATTTAGCTTCCCTAGCTTTCTTGTGGTATTTATCCATATTCTCTTTCTTTCAATTTTTTGGTCATTAATTTAGGTTTGTCTTTTTAAAAGAGACTACAGACACTCTAAAAATCCAATTTAATTATTCTTTTTTTTTTTTTGAGATGGAGTTTCACTCTTGTTGCCCAGGCTGGAGTGCAATGGGCAATGTCAGCTCACCACAACCTCCGCCTCTCAGGTTCAAGTAATTCTCCTGCCTCAACCTCCCGAGTAGTTGGGATTGCAGGCACGTGCCACCTGCTCGACTAATTTTGTAATTTTAGTAGAGACCAGGTTTCTCCATGTTGGTCAGGCTGGTCTCGAACTCCCGACCTCATCCCAAAGTGCTGGGATTACAGGCATGAGCCACCGCTCCCAGCCCAATTTAACAATTTCTGTCAACTGGTAATTACAGAAAATTTACAAAAATGTCATTTTGTTCAGTGTCATTTTGTTATAATGTTGATGGCAAAAATAATTAGTTTTATTCTATATCATTGTGCTTAAATTTGCAGTTTCCAAGAACCCATCGAAGACAGATGTGGTTTGGCTCTGTGTCTCCACCCAAATCTTATCTTGAATTATAGTCCCTATGTGTTGAGGCAGGGTCCTGTAATCCCCAAGTGGGAAGGGAGGGCAGTGATTGGATCATAGGAGTGGTTTCCCTCAGGCTGTTCTTTTGATAGCCAGTGAGTTCTCAGGAGATCTGATGATCTTATATGCATCTGGCATGTCCCGTGCTTGTACTCACTGTTTCCTGCCGCCTTGTGGAAAAGGTGCCTGCTTCCTCTTCACCTTCCACCATAACTGTAAGTTTCCTGAAGCCTCCCTAGCCATGTGTAACTGTAAGTCAATTAAACCTCTTTCCTCTATAAATTACCCAGTTTTGGGTATTTCTTTATAGCAGTGCGAAAATGAACTAATACAATGACATTAAGTGAGGATTAGGAAAAAGGAACATAACCTTGGGGGGCTCATCTAAAGTTCAATAAAATTTGAGAACAAATAAAATGCTAAACATATCTGTGATTTTATTAGAAAAATAAACTAATAGCACATATTTAATTTGTGAATTTAAAAAGAAGCAAAACTAAAACACTAGTCAACAAAAGTATGTAAGTTGTGTGAGAGAGATTAGAATTATAATGTTTTTAAGGTCTTTGTATTGCTCAAGAGATAGAGCTCAATGAAATAATATCTATAGTTTCCAAATTAACAATATATTACCATTTCAATAAAGTGTAACAAGCATGTATTAATTTTACATTGTAAGAGATAACTATAAGTCACATTGAATGAACCATATTTTTCCTATTTCCAGTGACAGTCTGATTTTTCATGAAGGCTAAGGATTTAAACCTGAATCATCATGTTTCTAGAACACTCTAATTTTTGCTTCCTTTGCAATATGAATACTGAGTCCATGATGTCATTTGGGGACTGAGGATGGCCAGAAAGGCACAATTCGCAGTTCATTCAGATGATTCAAGGAGAAATATTAGCAAAAGTGCAATGGTAATCTCAGAAAATATAATTTTCAGCTAAATAGAGTAAAAATAGACTCACAATGAGGAAAGTTGCTCCAAGCATCAATGCTTTAATTTTAACATCAAGATCAAATGGAAACTGGATCCCAAATTTCTCACCATTGGTTAATATTCCCCTGACAAATCCAGAGTACTGTTTTGAAATCTTTCCAATAACCATTTCCTCATCCACAGTCAATAACTAAAATGGAAAAATATATAACCTTTAGAGAAAAATCTATGAGATAAAAAGTTATTCCTGTACCAAATTTATTAACTAATTATGACCTTTATGAGTTATAATCATACTGATTGTACCCAAGAATTTACAAAACATGCAACATGGACACATAATAGCCCAGTAAAATTTATAGACAATTCCTATCTAAAAGTAGATTTTCAAATTGTATACAACTGATTATATCTATTTCTATGTCTACGTATACACACATATATAGTTAACCCATATAATTTGCTTTAATTTAACATGAGCATGAATTTCATTATAAAATGAAAACCACTAGCTTCTCAGCTCATTACACAGCTTCCCAACTCTTTCAGAAGTGCTTTTATTTTCTGGTTGCCTTTACTTTTTCCTCATTTTTTTTTTCTCTGTTACTTATCTAAACCTCCTAGAGCATCATTTCTCATACCAACTCACACTAATTCCTTCAGAATAAGAGATACTCATGTGAATATAAAGCACCAAACCTGGGATGAATCATAGTACCTGCCTTGTAATGAGGGCCATAAGGGAAGGGTAGGGTACTATCATGTAGTACAATTGGGAGCTGATAAGCAGACTACACAAATGGTAGGGGCATGGTTTTAGAGTAAGCTGCTTGGGGATAGCATCATTTAAGCTGAGACTTAGAGGACCAGAAGGAATTAGTGACAAGAGAAATAGGAAGACAGACAGCATTCCAGAGAAAGTTAACATGTGAAAAGGCCCCGAGTTAAGAGGGAGCATAGCTGGAGTGAAGTGAGGGAGGCGGCTAATAGCAGAAAATTAGTGAGACCAGAGAGGTTAGCAGGGCTGCTCATACACAGCCTTGTGAGTAGTGCTAAGGAATATGGGAAATGAGAAATATCAAAGTGTTTTAAATATACCCAAAGTTCTTCACCCTTTTCAGAACTCTGAACCCACCATTCCCCCTCATTCTCGACAAAATATCTTATCTCTTATATTACAGAAAAAATAAAAGCTGTGGAACAGGAATTCACACTCAGACACCAGCCCTACAAACAGAACGTATTCGTACTAACATTTCCGGCCTCCTTCCTGTTATGGTGAATGGGCCATCTCTATATGAAGCTAATTCTCTACATGTGTCTTAGTCCCATACCAAATAAGAAACCGGGTTCATCAAGTATTCAGTCTGTTGTATCTCCATACTTTCTCTCATTTGGCTCTGTTCTTTTACAATCAAAGGGATAATGACATACTTTTCAGAAAAATACCTCACTTTCCACCTGTGCCTTCATCAAGCCAGAAACAGGATTGGGGTATTGCAGAGATATAAGTAATACAAGTACATGGTCAGTTGCTTTCTTAATTTTTTGGTGTATTTCATCATAAAAAAAGTTTTACATTAATTTTAATTAAAAAAAGTGCAACACATTCATTTATCACTTACCATTAATACTAAGATTTGTGTTGCTCCCTTAAATTTTGTACCTGAGATGAACACCTTAATTGCCTCATTCTAGTTCTGGCCCTGTAACTAGCTACTACTTTATCTCTTTCCTCTTATTCATAGACAAAAGTATTAAAAGGATTGACCACATTCATGCAAAAGATGACTTTCTTAGAAAATCATGATTTCCCTTTCTTGCTCCTCTTACTTGGAGCTTACCCAAGAGTGCCAGCTTTAAAATTGTTTTGCTTCAAACAGAAAAAATGGGAAGAGTTTTATATAGCTTTGACAAAGCTTTGCAAATATTACAATGAGTAGGATTTGCTATATTATACTCTGAAATACAAAATAATGCACAAAAAGCATTTTATTATTTGGTGTCAGTAAAAAATGGCTTTGGATTCCAGAGTTTTATGCTTACTTTGGAAGTCTACTCTGTTACTTTGGCTTTTAACTTAAAATAGAGCCCCATTGGAGTCATATTGTTACTTTCTGAACTAACCATATTATTAACAATTAATTTGTAATATATTAAGTATATTTTTCTTAATCAGTATATGCAGATGCCAGTAAGAATCAGAATCACTAAAATGAATTGACATAATTCTAAGAAAGGAAGGAAAATTGGATAGTATTTTAGTTAGGCTGTATGCAAATTTTCTACTAGATATTTTAGATATTCAAACAAACAAACAGGTTTTAGATGAAAGTTAGGGAAGTATGACTTTTTGCACATCTACTATAATGTTAAACCAACACAATATTCTCTATTGCTTAGAAATCTTCAGGTTTAAATAAATATAACAAGTTATTTAATTTTATTAACTATATGAAGTATGTTTAGTAGCTAATTTCCCAAATTATTATCTGGATGTTGGCTATAATCTGAGAAGTAAATTAGTAAGCACATAGAAAAATTTTTAAAAAATATTAAATTTCAAAGTTTTATAAAAAGCAGAAACTGTGTTAATTAACATTAATATAACACATTAGCTATAATTAGTACCAGATTAGGTCATTGTCCATTTAATAAAGTTTAAATTTCTCTGTCAATATTCTTTGAGATATTAAATAACTAACTTTTGATACCTTTAAAACCTGCCTTATAAGCTACATAAACTTATAGAGCTTTTAAATAAGGATGCTGTGAATTAGTAATCCAATTTTTTAAAAAAGCGAATAGTTACAATATTTTCATAATAATATTCTTTTATTTTTCTTTATTCATATTCACTAATTATATCTATTATAAAAATGTAATAAACTAATTTTAATATGACATTAAAATATTGTTAATTACTTACATTAAAATTTAGATCCCTGAGACAGCTGAAGACCAACCATGGGCCTCTAATTTTCATTACCTCCTCCTTATTCTCATTTTTTATTTTGAACTTTGGCAAGAATGGGTGAAAGTATTGATAAACATACCCAATTGTTTCACCAGGTGGAGCTTCAACTTTTAGCTACAAAAGATTGAAAATATATCATTGATCCGACCGGATATGTTAGACTTGTAAGCAACACTTTATTTAGTTCTGTACGACCTCTTAAATGAGCTTTTTGTATATTTAGACAGAACTTTCTGTATTTAAGGGATGCCTCATGTTTGAGAATAAACATAGAAGTGAGAAGACCAGGATTTATATGTTAAAGTCCCCGGAGCTAAGACATGACTTCACTGCTTACTAACTGCTTGAAATGTGAACAAATCACTAAAGTCTCTGAAATTTACTTTCCATTTGCAAAAGGGGGATAATAATAATTTCCTTTGTAGGCATGTATGAGAATTACTTTTTAAATTGCAATGCCCATGAAATACAACATAAACTCTAATCTCATCCCAAACTGCTTCTTACTCAATATGCGAAACAGTTTCATAACTCTTTGTCACGGCAAATCTAAATTTTGTCCCAATTTTTATTTAAAGCTCAGTTAATCAGACTCAACAGAGACTTGTTGAATAAATTATGGCATATCCATGTAATGGGTTATTATGCTGCCATTTAAAGGAACAAAGAAGTTCTAAACATAGATGTAATCCTCAAATTACAGTGTTATGTGCTTAAAAAGTAGAATAATATGCTACTAATTATGTTAAAACACACACACATAGCATAAACATGCTATATTTATATAATACATTATACAAATATTCACAACATAACTGTGGAAGAATACATAAGAAACTTATAATGGTAGTTGTATCTAAAAAGGGATGTAGGAGGCCTAGGAAGCAAGCATTTGAGAGAAATTGTTTCTCCTGAATATGCTTCCATTATATTCTGTCCTTTTCTATTCTGAAAAGTAGAGAATTCTGACCTTTCCTTTCCTTTCCCTTTTCCTTTTCTTTTCCTTTTCTCCTTCCTTCCTTCCTTCCTTCCTCTTTCCTCCTTCCTTCCTTCTTTCCTTCCTTCCTTCCTTCCCTCTTTCCTCCTTCCTTCCTCTCTCTTCTTCCTTCTTTTCTTTCTTTCTTTCTCTTTCTTTCTTTCTTTCTTTCTTTCTTTCTTTCTTTCTTTCTTTCTTTCTTTCTTT